CTGTTGTGAAAACTCTTAATCATGTCACTGACTCTGCATCACACTGATAACACCAAACCAAAACTCTGCATATTTGCACCATATATATTGATGCTCTTAACTTCCATATCAACACAGTATTTGCACCATATTTTTTCTCCCACAAATGGTATGAAAGTTGTACAAAACGAAATTTCATTTTGTTTACACTCTGTGTATACAATAATACATAAAAGTTGTCTAAGTGATGGATCCTCCAGAGTGAGCTATTGATGAGAGGGGTACCTGGGTTAAAAAGTTATTTTAATTTCTTTTAAATCTGACATTAGAATTTAGGTGAGCTAAATTGCTTTAATGACTAATTAGAGCTTAAACAGCTTAGGTGAGTAAGTACATATTAAAACATGGTAGGAATTTACCTTAGTTTTTTTTTCAATTTCTACAATCTGTTAAAGTATTTCTACACAGAAACACTTATCAACTCCTACCTGCACAAAACTTAGATGGTATTACACCACTGTAATTGATGAAATCATAACAGTTGTTAATCAAAGTACTTTTTATCTACAAAAACACCATAGGAGGTCAATAGAAATGTTCAATAGTCACAAATTATCTTAAAATAAATCTATTACAAGAGCATTGAACAAGATGGATAGAAGTGTTATGATTTTGGTGTGACATACCTGATGGATGGGTAGAGCGGAGAGCCTGATAAAGACATGACCAGGCAACAGAAGAGCAGCAGCAGCACAGCAGCTTTCTCCATCATCGCAGCCAGTCCTGGAGAACACTGGACTACCAGAATAAATGACAGGGGAAGAAATTACATTAGAAAAAAAACCCTGAAATCACAGTTTCCCACCATCAGCGTCATCACACAGCTGAAAAAAGAAAAAACAGGGAGAAAAAAAACTTTAGGCATGGAGGTGTGTGTGCAGTGATTTGAAATGTGCACACTTAATAGAAGATTTCTTTTGCATATACTTATGCATGTTGGATTTAATGCACTTTGTGTGTGCATGTGTGTTGTAAGAGTTACCTAGTCTTAACACAGAGTCAGAGCGTCCCTGCTGAGCCACTACTCGGTGCCTTCCACTCTCATCGTCCGTAAATGCCAGGAAGAACGGGACAAAAGAGGCAGGAACCCGGCTGTTTGTTCCCTCTCTGCATCCATGGTCAGTTTATACTGAACCTGGGGCTCTCGGTCACACCCACAGCTCACATCATCACTCTGTCTCTCTCTCTCATTGAGCTTGGCCATCAACATCAACTCTCTGGGGTTGATTTTTTTTTTTTTTTTCTTTGACCATGACCATAATTGAATAGCACTTTAGAGCCACAGTGTATTATGGTTTTGCATAACCATGAATCAGTAAATGACAATGTATAGAGGGTTGAAAAAGGGATTGATAAATGCATAAGTTAAGCAGTGTTACATGTTTTGGTTCATCAGTTTCTTCCATTTAATGTGAACTTCTTAATGCATTTCTAGCCTGCAAGAAAATTTAAAGCAAAAACTTTAACCCCTTTCCTGTATTTTCAGCATTTCATTCAGATTTCTTCTACAAATAGATAGCTAAATCTGCATAAAACAGGGAGCTGTTGGGCTAGTAGGCTACTGCTATATGTGCACCCTGTTTTACAAAGGCTTGATTTATTAGTAAATATTTATGTTTAAACTAAATAGAATCCTAAGTGTGGAAAAAGGTTTAAAAAAGGAATTTTAAATGTTGGTATCAGAGTCACTGACTTAACCTAAAGTCTAAAAATGGTCCCATTCTTACTACATCATGCAGCCAAACCTCTTAGTGATGGAGGCTTATTTTGATATATTTAAAGCAAAAATGTATCTTAGTTGATCTTCTAAGTCTGGCCTCTTCCTAATAATTTCTGATTTTTAATAATGATCTTTACTTCCTATCTTTCTGTGTCCACACAGCTACGTATGTAGAAAAGCTGTGCAGAAAGCAGCTGAAACACCAGTGCTGACTTGTTGATGTTCAAAACAAAGCACTGAGTTACTAAAGCACAGAAACATTTTCCTTCAAGTGTTTATCTGCACATAATTAATATTAAGAAATTAACATTAAGAAAATGTTACTTGCAGAAATATCAACAAGTCATATCTAAAAAAAAGGGAAACATAGTGGCGTTTACTCACCACTCCAGGATAATCTTGCATAATAAAACAACATCTGACCAAGCCTGATGTCAGGCTCCTCTTGTGCTGCACCTCAGACCTAGTGTGTTTGTATCCATATAAATTATATTATATTGAGCTATCAAAAATTTGTTGCATCACTTTCCAGGAGACAAAAAAGAACATAAATATTTATTTATGGCATCAGCCTGTATGGAACTCTCCATCATTAGTCCACCCACAACACATAGTGCTCAAACTGAGAGAAAATACACTAAATCTTTCTTTCTTGATAACCCAGATACTTTTAATTCATAATAAGTAGGTGGGTTTTTCTAGGAGAAAAAACAATCATAAAGTTATGTTTTCTTGCTTTGATGTGATCCTTTTGTTTTTGGATTGTTTTGAGTATTTTAACTGCAATATTGAGGGTTATATTGTCCTAGTAAGAAACAGGATTTTATACCTTAGGAAAATAACTGGTCACAGGGTGCTTTAAAGAAAAATTAAAAGAGTTAAAGAAAAATTCTGCTGTTATTACAAGAGAAAAAAAAAGAACTTAAAAAAAATCTTCAGGCTTGAAATACAGGGAGAAAAATCAGATGTCAGACTCTACAGGTTTGAATGCTTAATATTACTTCAATTTAGAGATACCAGACAATATTGTCATTCCTTTACATGTTGATTATATTATGGCAAGCTGAAATGCAAATCGACCGTCTTATATCATACTGTTTGCTTTCGTTGTAATTCTTCTTTATAGAAAGAGTGATACACCGTATTGTTGCTGCTGAAAATACAAACTTGCTTTGAGACAAATCTACTGATTTACCAGCAAATCTATAAAAGAAAAAAGAAAAATGCCTTTCATTAGTATCATTGAATGTTTTTTTTTTTGTGCAGGCTTTTAAAATTGTCTTTTTCAACTTCTCTTTGGGTCTGAGCAAAAAAAAAAAGTAAAAACCTCCCCAAGGTTGCCTTATTGTCAGCTAAACTCCAGCTACTATAGTTATTGCCAACAGCCATTAATGCCTTTACTTTGAACCCTATTGTTACGCTGGATCCTTAGAATTTATCAATATCCCATAATAGTCTGTTTTAGTCACAATTGTTACCCGGGCCGCACCACAAAACTGGTAATGAAGAGATGGATGTGGATGAGCCTGTTCATTTGGGTTCAGCTCAGTGCAGATTATGCAAGGTTTGGTACTGGTCGATTATTTTGGCTTTAATCTGAACACATACAGATGCGTTGGAAAATAAAAAAATAGGTGTGTAAAGAAAAAGTAAAGCTCAAAACCTTTCCAATAATGTATCTGTCCATATAACCAGACACATCAAGAGTTCCACTTTAATGACCCTAACAAGTAGTACTGGTGTCCTTTCAACATGTTTCAGTGTTAAAGCAAAACAATCCATTGTTTGAACAGTTTTACTTGGATGTTAAAATCATAACTTCTATGCCGGACATTTGTTGCCTTTCTCTTTGACCTTTGATTCGACACCATTTTTTTTTTTTTTTCTGAATGAAATGTCAGACTGAACTCCACACAGCTATTGTTTTGTAAAGTTTCCCTAATGATTCATTTAGACAGAAACTGCAGCATGGATGTCTGGATTGTTGGTTTTCTCTGATAAAAAGGTTCTTATGTAGAACAATAACTTCTAATATGCTTGGTGCTGTTGGACTTGTATCATTCTGAATACAACTGCGTATAAAATAAGCTCCTCTTGTGGAGACCTTAAATAATCCAGTGAATTCCAGACCTATATGTAACAAACAGTTTATTATTCATATCTTCTTTTTGGGGGATGTCTGAGGTGCAGAAGGAAAATGTTATTTATGCAAAACTAGAGTATAAAAGAAAAAATGAGTTGTTTTTTTTTTTTAAATATGAGGGTGTAATTTGATAAATCCTGGGCACATCATGGGATTATTTTTGTGTTCACTAGAAGAGACCCCCCAGGACATTTTTTTGCATGCATTATGGGGATAAGGAAATTAGTTTGTTTTTTTTTCATAATGGGGAAATCATCTCGACATTAAAATGAAAAAGTAGTGCTTTTGTGTTCAGGTTGACCAGTGTAAACCTCTCCTACTCAAACTTATCTCTTGAGGACAGTCTGAGTGATGAGAGTGCACTGCCAGCACAAATGGAAAACCCTCTAGACATCCTAAAGCACAGATGACCTCATTTGCTCCTGTACGCCTTGAAATAACAGAGTTCTACCCAAATCTTTGGGAAGCTCGGAGGGTCTACCCCCTCCCTGTGAAAGGTGCATCTGCAGAGTAAAGCTTCTCCAAGCTCAAATTAATAAATAACCTGAAATCTTCTATGGCAGAAGATTGACGGAATGGGCTGGCAGTGATTAGGATAAATAAAGTTTCAAATAGAGCTTTTACATATAGTTACGCACATTTACACAGTTTTAAGAGATAATTTTTCAAGTTTAAATGTCTATCTGGTTTCAGGTAACATATTTATATAATTTAAGAACAAATGTGATATTTGATTTGTGTCCATTTTTCTACAATTTATGATTTTTATTAGTATAAGTTATTTGGATATGTGAACAAAGGAATGCTGACGCAGTTATTGGCTAATTAACGAATGTAGTTTGCTTTTTAAAAAGTTTTTCCCATGCTTTCCCTTTCTTATAATGGGGAATAAAGAGCAAAACAGTCCATATTTCTACAAAATTACTTTCAATACTCTTTCAAAAAAAAAAAAAAATAGCCATTGCAGGGCATGAAGATACACACATACATACCTCCTTTTTATACGCTTTCCATAAATCTGTTTTAGACATGTGGTGTTTTAAAGCTCCACTAAGATCAAAAATATTTTCATGTGCATAAAAAAGACAAAACTCATACGTTCACCTCAGCTTCTTTATTTTCCCGTCTTCATTACAAAAACATTATGAAACCGCCCATATGTAATCAATAAATTTTCATGGGAGCATTTTGCGTCAAAAATAGAACAGTGCCACAGCCAAACAGAGCAGCGTGGGTAAGATCAATCCAGGTGTCAGTGCTACGTCCAATTGTTAGCTATTTATTGAAGAAGCTGCTCCTTTCTGAGGTGAAATGGGCACCGAGCATCAACAAAGAGGAATGTACAAAAAAAAAAAAAAATGAAAAAACCCAAATCTCATCTAGAAACCACAAACAAAATCCAGCTCACTGAAAACTATGTTGGACAAAAAGAAAAGATGAGAGGAAGTGCAATGATCAGTAGCTTTGCAGCCCTCTGCAGGAGAATCTGTCAGTGTTTGTCCAGTCTTTCAGAGACAATGACGTCCATCCTTTCCTTTTCCCATCACAGCCAAACTGCATGTTTAAACCGTCAATTGGATTCTTGAACATCTGTTCCATTTTTTTTTTCTCATAGTCTGATTTTGCTGCAAACAAAAAAAATGACCATCGGTGTCTTCTTTGATTTTTTTTTTTTTGCCCCTATTTCCTCTCCATCCTGTGTGAAAAGAAGAAAACAGTTATGACTCATAATGGATGAAGGAAGATCTTCATGATTCATCTAACAAATGAAGCAGGTCATGCATTTTGATGCGCACCCTTAAGATTCTCAGAAATGTTAAAATGAGGATAATGCAGAACAGTTTTTAAGAGTAAAGAACATGTTAAATAAAGGTCGGGATACAACCAGAACTATGATCATAGAGCATAATGGTAGGGCTATGGTGTTGCTGCTATGGATTTGGTTGTAATGGTCATGATAGGATGAGTAAAAAGGCAAACCAGGAGGAGGTGGGGGGAGGGGTGGCGGGCGGTAAGTACAGAATGAGAGCACCACAGTCATGCACACTGCCAGACATTATGGAAATGCAGTGTGGATGCAGTCTGAGAGGATGCCCTTACTTCAGCCTGGAAGCAGAACCCACTCTTATGTTACAAAAGAAGGGGAGGGGGGCTTTACCGAAGGCTCCTATACTTTGCCAACCTACTACTCTGCTCTGCAGCAATCCTGGAAGAGGAGTAAAGAGAGAGCAAGGTGTGGATAGAAGGGTTAAAGAGAGACAGAGCAGTTTCAAGGAGGCAGAAGGAAAAACGTCCTGACAGGGAAACAACAGCAGGGAACTCATTCATTGCAACATTCAAAGGGGTTAAATGGGCGGCCATTAGAGAGCAGAGAAAGTGACCAATTACTAAGTGACCTCCTCAGTCTGTGACACAGGCTGCAAATTGCGCACTCCGGCCCATGAAGAGCTCTACATACTGATGGGGGAAAAATTGGCCACTCTGATCGTCACTGTTGCTATGAGCTCTTCTTCTGGCAGACAACTTTGGATTGAAATTATCCCTTGAAGCTCCACTAAGGAGCTACAGACACAGGGCTCTTTTCATTCAGGTTTGAAGCCCAGAATTAGAAACGGGCCCAAAAGCAGAGGAGTCCTTGTCACTGGAAAAGGAGGAGAGGCTTTTCTCTCCACCAGAAGGACTCTCTAGGAACTGGCTGTGCCAGGCACCATCAGGATACGTACCTCTTCACAGCTTTCTGGGCCAGCATGCGGTTCCCGGCAAGGAAAGTTACACCGCCGATGATTGCCAGGTACTTCAGAGTCTGAAACATGTTCAGGTTGGTCCAGTAGACGTACATAAGGCCGAGCAAGGCTGAAACGACACCAGAGGCATGACTCCAGGCGCCGCTTTCACAAAATCCAAAGCATTAACCATTTCTTAAGAGACTGCACAATCAGATCAGAAGAAATCACACCATCTTACTGCTTTGAACGGGAAAAAAAAAACTTCAATATTCTGTCTTCAGTTTTTACAAGTGAAGGAGTTTAAAGTATAATCAGCATATTAAACATGAATCCTTAATCTAGCACTGATTCTATGCCAACCCCACCTTTCCACATGAAACAAGGTAAGACAGGAGAAGCTGTGGAACTTACCGGCATGTCCCAGATGGAACAGGATGGTGCTTGGAGAGAAGCTGAAGTTGGAGATGTTGGCTCCAAGTTTAAACCACTAGACAAGAGAGGCAAAACCCAGACAATTAGATCTTTTGTATTCCCTCTAGTCAGAGCAGCAAACAAAGGAGCTGGATGAATCGTTTATTGCTAACAAAGTGCAACGATTAGCAGGAACAATAGGCAGACAACAAAAAAACATTATTGTTGGTGTTTTCAATTTAAAACAAGAGTTATATTTATCCCACTAACCGTGTTCCTACAGAACATAAACGCTACACAAGTGGCGTTTTGAAAAACAATACAAACAAGGTGTTCTAAATAGGTTTCTGAATTTTTTCTGAACCACAAAAGGTCAAAACATAGTGGAACAAAACAGAAAGCACTTTAAACAGATTTTACCAGAATGAGCAGGAGCAGGAGGGGAGACATGACGAGAGCAGTGAAGGTGTTGGAAACCACGGTTGGAGGCTTCTTTTCAGGCTCCCTGAACAAATGCTGCACAGAAACCATGAGATTTTACAACCAGTGAAACTCAGCTAGGGATGGAGTAAAACCAGGGATGAGAAGGTGACGGGATGTTACCTGGATCTCTGGTTTAGGTACATAAAGGGTCTTGGGTTGAGCAGCAACTGGAGCTTCTTCATCGGCAAACTTCAGGACAACATCAGCCTAAAAAGAGAGTACAGGCTTACATCAGCATCTGCATTTATATATATATAAAAAATCAGTTTGCCAGAACAAAGCCTGATCAGGCACTGACCACATTCCACAAAACGGGATTCTCTAAGGTAGCGTCTCCAACGATGAGGTACAGAGAGTAGGTTCCAGACATGGTATCAAACTCAGATTTCCGTTCCGCCGTATCCAACTCAAACTTGTAGAGATTCTTGCTGTCGGGTTCAGCAACAAACACCACCTCCTGACCGGTTTTCTGATTGTGGAGCCGGACGAAGGTCTGATGGAGACAGCAGAGTTAACCCCAGTGGTGAGCTCAGGCCTAACCTAATGATTCAGTGACTGCATGGCCACGGCAGTAATTATTAGAACAGAAACAAAACACAGGTTGAAGTAAGACTATAAACCTGGTGAGGGGTGAGCTCCTGCTCATTGTTGACGTCGACCAGCTGGAAGGACATGGCAAAGTTCTGGTGGCTGTCTGCTGTGAAGGGGCTCTTGGCTTTGGAGGGATACTGAACCCTGCATCAAAAACACACAAAGCACATAGCTTTAGATGTTTTTGCTCACAGGTCTGAAGAAAGTCTGTTACAGACATCCTGATTTGCCTGACCTGGTGGTCTTTGTGCCAATGCTCTGGTCCTTATCCACCACAGAGAGGTCCATGTTGGTAACGGCAACCTCAGTGGAAACCTTCACCTTCAGCTGTGAGTCGACATTTAAAATAAAACGTGGGACATTAGTAGTTTAATTGGATAAAATAATGTGTTGCTTCTAAAACCCTTGATCAACACTTTGTAAAACTATTTTTTTCATGTGATTTAAGTTGGCCGTCATATTCTAGTCAGAGGATGCTCGAAGCTTTCTTTCTGAAACAGGTTGTGGACTTTATTCTCATAATATTATGACTTTATTCTCAAATTTAAAAAAAAATCTCTAGGCTCTGTACAACCTGTGTGCAGTAAGACATTATGTCATTTCATAGCCACCTTGGCGTTACATCAGGTTCTTCTCATTGGGCACTATGGCTAATGGTTTTCCAAAGTTACTGGCAACTCAGCATTTTTACTTGCCAAAATTTTGTTGTTAGAAAATTATGTTTAGTATGATTAAAGCATATTAAACTAAAACTATGGCGTGCCCCAATTTATTTAATATAGATTTACAACTTTTAAGTGTAGTTTTAATAGCAGTTTGTTTAATTGGTCCACCTTTCCCCAGCTTTTCCTTATCTTTATCAGGAAGGCAATGAATGAGATGCTTTCAGTTTTGACTAAAGATCTCTGGATGAACCAGATGAAGGTGGGGATTTTCTCACTTGAACTTTTCTATGAAAGGATTTCTGGATCGAATCATCTGTTTGGCTTCAGTTCACTTAGGCCTCGAGATTTATCAACTCTAAGGCAGATTTGCAGATTTACTGCAAATATCTTGTTTCTTTGATAACAGCTATCCTTGCCTGGCCTAAGGGTTCAGTTGGACAGCCATGTCAGGCTAAAAGGGATAAATAGCAATAGCTGTAAAACTCAATCTAGGGTTTGGGTACTTTGGCAATACCCTCATGTCCTAAATTAAGGAAAGACTGGCACTGGAGAACTCTGGCCATATCCAGAGGTGCTTTCAGTCATGTGTCCTTTCTCTTTTGATTGTATTTGCAAACATGTTTTGATCCAACCAGACACTAAAGCTAAACAGCAGGACCCTCCACTGAGTCAAGCAGTTATTAATAGAGTTTTGTGTGTTTGGGGGTCAGAGAGTGCACAAGGTGGAAGAGAAAGTCTTTTTAAGGAGTCAACGAAGAGGATTTTACCAGCTTACAGAGATAACTTGTTCTCACTGAGGTCTGACCTGTTGATTCTGCTTTTCTTTCTCAGCACCAAAGACAAATGGAAAGCGCAGTTACTCTACATAGGTAAAGGTGAAAGGGATAACACTACACATGTTTAGCCAACATGGCTGATTCCACATGCCTAAAGCTAATAGATCCAGTACTGTGGGAAACTTCAAACAATACTAACTCTACCTCAACATGATTGGCAACCAATCGGCTGTCCCCGGTCACACCGATGGTGAACTGGTAATATCCACTTGCTGGCTTCTTCGACATGAAGTTCAGTTCAAAGACACCACTAAGAATAAGAAAAGAGAATAACACAGTGTATGTGATTGGCTGAAGAAATGTTGACCACAAGATGTAAATTAAACATTAATCCAGAAAGTTTAAACTTTGATAATCTGCTGTTTCTTCTGCTGTCCCTCATTCTGTGAGGCTCAAACAGGATCACTACTATATCAGTTTTATGTTCTCCTGAATGCCTATTATGAGCACGTCTGTTTTTTTTTAAAGGTTATATAGATTTTCTTTCATCTGCTATATAGTCTATGGCGTAACTCCAAACCTGACTGTTTCTTCTGGCCATTGACAGATTTTATTGTGCATTTTCCCCAATAGCGGATGTGTTTTGCATTGTAACTGCATCTCTTCCTGTCAGACCCATGAAATTGCCCTGAATTGCTGCATAGTCCAACAAAAACAGACCTGAGGTCTATATCAGTCAGAGGAATAAACCCTCAGGCAATTAGCTCTCATTGACTTTTAATAAGAGAAGGGCCAAGTGATGAGTGTACTGTTAAACCTTATACTGCAACTGCCTGATCAATTCACAGTGCTTGCCATGCCTGTGTACACACAGGAGGTATGGATTTCAGTTTATTTAGGAGGAGATGTAGGAGAACAGGAGTGAAGCTTAAGGGGTTAGATTCTTTTTTAAAGCTCCTGTCTTTGCTTAACAAAAGGTTTGGTAAGGATCTTCGTTTAACTTCAACCTCCTAACCAATTTTAGCTTAATCTCACAGCATTTTCCCAGGACATGCTCAATTTCTAGCTCATCTTTCCTTAACTATGAAAATTTGAGGCTGGTTAAAATATAAATTCATGAGCCTCAACCCTTTCCTGCTGTTGTGACGCTTGCAGCCTGTTTATCCTTCTGATCACACATACTCATTATGAGTGAAAGGTTCTTGGTTGAGAACGGCGCTCTTGGAGGCCACAGCAAACGCAGACTCGACCAGCACGTCGGCGGAGTTCAGAGGCTGGGACATGACATCAGTGACGAGGAGCTGTGCAAAAGACCCATAGTCATGACATCACTGCAATGTAATTATGGACCACAAGAAGGGATGCAGTAAGTGTTAGAGCCAATGGCTGTACCTGCAGGGTTGGCTGGTTGTGTGACACAGTGGCTGGACCCTGAGTGTTGACGATGACAGGGACATGGAAGCGGTTGTTGGACAGAGCTGCAGCAGCACTCGCCACGCTGAAGGCCTCAGACAGAGAGTCCCATGATTTCTTGCTAAAAATGGAGTTCACCAGCTGGATGACTTGATCCTGTGGGAACATCATTTCTGAAGTTTTAGAGGAAGGCAGCACTGATAGAAGAACATTTTCTTGTTGTAGAGAAATCCTACCTCCTTGAGAGGGGGCTCCATGTCCACATGATCTGAGAGGCCATAGGCTGCTGCCACAAACAGGGCTGTGGCCTCAAGTCCCTCTTCAAACTGGAGGTAGATGCCTCCCAGATCATCCAAACGAGCTGTCAGATCCTGAAAAATAAATATTCTCAAACCCTATTCCAAAGCAGCAAAACAGCGCCATCTAGTGCTGGTCATAGGACATACCTCAATCTCCTCCAGGATTCCTCCCAGTTCTGCCTGCTGGGACAGACGGGATGCAGTCTGCAGAGCAGAGATGATACTGCCCAAAAACAGCAGAGTTGGTGTAAATTAGCATGGACAGGAGCCTTGATGCAGAATGCTTCTGTTTTTCAATCAACACTTACGCCATGACATTGTCCTCCTTGTTGATGCGTGCCGTCAGGGCGCTAACAACTTCCTGTGAGGCGAGAGGGAGCCCCAAAGAGCTGAGAGCACCCACAGCTCGATGGATCTGAGACATGGACGAATCCTCACTGACGGCTGCCAGAAGGATTTCCCTAGTTTCATTTGATACAGGGATCTAAAAAGAAGGAGGACTTTTCACATTAGGCAGTGTGGGGGAAACTCTTAAGAGAAGATTTTGGATTGTGTTTTTTTTTTTTTTTTTAAACAATCTTACTCTTAATTATTTTAAACAATCTTATGTTTTCTAATATTTTCCGGGAATATTTCCAGAACTGTTTCCTTCCCTGAAAACCCCTATGATCTTTCAAAGTCTGTCGATCAATCAGAGGTTGAGATGTCTCAGGGCTGCCTGCTTTAGTTTTCACTAATTGAGAATTGACTATTTCAGATTGATCATTTGACAAACTGATCAGCCACTTTAATAGGTAAATATTGCATTTGCATTCTTGATTTGAGTTTGTTTTCGGTTTGACTTTTATTTGTGAGTAGGTATGTGCTTCTAGTAGTGTTGTCAAAAGTATCGATATTCAAAAAAGTATCAATGCTAAAACGTATCCGGATACAATACTTATTTTTATAAGTATCGATACAGTGCTACCACCAGTGGAACCTAAACAGTCATTCATCTAGAGTGCAGAATAGAGGAAAATGCACTTTCTGAAGACAGTGTGATTGAATAATTCTGTGCATTTTACAGTTTCAGACTTTTTTTGTAACAGGTGCAGCTGCTGAGAATTATTTTTGTTTCTTAACTGGTTTGGCTAGTGTCATTGTTATGTGTGCAAAACATAGCCAAGGAAGGAACACTTAAGTTAATTGTGTTAGTCTTGTATCAAGGTTGCTTAATATTGTGCACAGCATGCAACCTCAAAATATTGTTCTTATTGTTTATTGTATTTATTTATTTTTTGTATTTTATTTATTAATGAAAATATTTCTGTTAAATTTTGGGGTCTTTGTGGTATCGAGCATCAACTACTTTTCCTGAGTATCGGTATCGAGTTGAAAATTTTAATATCGTGACAACCCTAGCTTCTAGTAATTTTCTTTTTGGCTATGTTCACACTGCAGCCTGAAGTGACCCAAATCAGATTTTTGCCTATATGCGACCTGGATCTCATGTTTTCATGGCAGTCTGAACAACACAGATCCGATTTTTTCCAATGCGACCCAGGCCACTTGGCTATGTGGTCCTGGATCCGATATGAATCTGATCTTTTCAAATGCGACCTGTGACGGCCAGGTCGCATTCATCCGACCTGAATGCCAGTAATACCTGCCAAAGGTCACTATTATGCGTCTTGCTACGCAGAAGCGGCAAGAAAAACAACAACCATGGCAGATGATGATGCGGAGAGCAGTATTTATGTTTCACCATAATGAAAAGATTGTGTTTTAATGGTTGGATGAGATTGCTAGATGCGCGCTGGCACTACCATCCATGTTTACTCCTGCGAATGCGGGACACTTAAGTTGTGTGACTGCAGTTCACACAGGAGATCACATACAAGTCGCATATATATGGAAATATGAACAGCAACGTAGTAAAAAAAAAAAAAATTCAGATTTTGCAAAAAATCGGAATTGAGCATCAAGGCCTGCAGTGTGAACGTAGCCTTTGGTAAATGTAGTACTTAGCTCTTTTTTTACATTGCAATTTTCCATAATAAAGAAAACAGTAGAAAACAAAAAAAAAAAAGACATCTTAATACCAATTAAAATTGTAACAGTAAATGTAGACCCTAAATATTTACTAAAAGGTAGAGTGGAAAAATTTCAGGAATTTTTGAGAAAAAAAAAAAAGTACATGCACAACCCTGTAGCCGCTCCCGAAAGGGAACACCTATTAAACGCGTGCCAGAGCATGAACGAGCCCCTTTCTACTTGTGCACGCTGTTTAAAAGTTGCTGTTTGCATCGTTAATGCAAGCTAACTGTGCCCGAACATCCGCCCTAACTACTAAAACCCTCAATCACTATATAGAGCGGGACTATGTAGTGGACTTTATAGTGAACTCTGATAACGTACCGTTCGGACAGATGATCACTGCTTTTTGCTCCACTGTGCTTTTTATCATTAGTTACTGCTGCCTCTATAACAGCAAATCCCATAGTGCTTTGCGAGGAGAGCTCTCGCAAAGCATTATGGGATATATCTGCCTCTTCTCAGGCCTTTCTTTTCACCTCATACACTTTGTAAAGTGTAAACTGTAGCTCACCACATATATGTCTGAAAGTGCGCATGCACAGAAAAAGATAGCTAGCTAACAGGGGATACGCACATAGAACAGCCTTAAGTAAACATATCACCAGAATGATTGACAATAAGGAGGACCAGTTATTTAGATGATCCACCCAGAAATAAAAGATCCTCCTATATACATTTAAGACAAATAAAACCTGATCTAAATTTTTACAAAATTGCTGCTACTTCCTCAGGTTTGAATGAATTAATAACTAAATATTTCAGATTATCCAGTATAATTACAAATTAAGACATTTCTGTCCGTTTAATGATATAATGACATTAAGTGGGAAGGATAACATGTTCATACCTCGCATCCAGAAATGGCCTGACTGGTTTCAGCAGCGAAGAACAGAGAATCAACACTACTGGGGTCGAGCTGGGATTTCAGGAACTGACAAACTTGCTGGAAAACAGATAATTGGAAATACCCACTTTACAGTTATAAAGCTGGAACTGGAAATAAACGAAGATAAACAGTTTTCACTCAGAACAACGGGCAGCCCACGGTCACAGTGATATCTTACTGCAGGATTTGGAACAGCCGCTCCGAGCTTGGAGAGGCCAACCACAGAGTAGTATGCGGACTCCAGGTCGGTGTATTCTTGGTTAAGGAGGTTTTGCAGCCGACCCACATCAGAAAGGGACAGGTGGTGAGACGGCGTAAGCGCCTGAGCTCCGGGAAGAGCCAGGCTCAGGAGCAGCAACCCGAATAGCTCTGCTAACAGACAACCGGGGTAAGCTAAACCATTAGCTAGCATGGGCACAGGGTTAACAATAAGCATTATACACGACCCAGGTCAATAAAATACCGAATTCTCCTATGTTCATTCATAATTCATCAATTCATTCATTCGGTAAAATAAGGCTTTGCCTCGCAGTCGATTCAAATGTTAGCTAACAAACGAATAGGCTAAAATCGACAGGAAGCGCCGTGCAGCGAGCATTGTTTTCATATAAATGTATAACTTGATAATCGATTAGGACAAAAATAAAATGATATATATGAATTTTTAATACAAAATGTTACATTTTTAGCTAGAAAATACTTACTTGACCGAATCATGTCTTGCAGCCTAATGCAGCGTCACCAAACCGCATTTGCTTCCGGTGTCTCAGAGCTGTCAGCTTAGAGAGGACTTCCGCCTCCAAAGATTGCTTTCAAAATAAAAGCACGATGGGATATGAATATCCAATCCCTTCGTGCTTGCATTTACTTTAAAAATATCTGTAAATAGATAAAATATCTGTACATAGGCTACGATTTTCTTTTGTATCTTTAACATATTTATTTGATCATATGAAGGATTGTGTCTTCNATATATATATATATATATATATATATATATATATATATATATATATATATATATATATAAAAACCTTTGTTAACCTTTTTTATTTTTTGTATTTGTTTAGTCTCATGTATACTTGTATGACAAAGACATTTTTCTTTTCCTTTGTAAATATAGGGAACATGACCCCTATAATCTATTAATTAAATCCTGAGCTTTATCTAAAGTATTTCTTTTACCATGAATTGGGTAAAAAAGTAATTTTAACTATTTTGCTGTTCAGTCTATTTCAACTTCTGTGTTTTCTAATAGGTTTTATGTGGACCTGTATGCTATTATTTGCCTATCTGCTTTGCATCTGACACACCTGAATATCCCCTCTGTGGGAGAACAATGGATATTTCTGTTCTACTATCCTGTTCTTTTATCTTTAGTTTTGTTGGGGGAAGGGGGCTATTTATTTTTCTATACCTTATGTTTCTAGAAAAAGCTGAAATATTAAAACTTTTTTTTTTCAGAGCTTTCTTATGGGAAATAGGCTATTTTGTGAGTAGGTTGATATCTCTGATTTAGTTCCAGAGTCAATCAGGATGACAGAAGGAATTTCTACATATTCTAACCAGTTCGTTTTCAAGAAATATTTTATAAACAAATATAGGGGATTTTTCAGAAGGGAAGGACAATGTGTTCGAAATTCTGTTCATATTGATGTAATTATCTGCTTAAAAACAGTTTTGTGATCTGATGTAAAATTGTTTGCTTAAATTTCAAACCGAATGCAGCAGGTCTACCAGAACCAAACACAGACTGAATAACCAAAACAAATACAAGTTCAGATTTGACACGCCGTCTTTGTGGATTTTAATTCAACTCAGATGTGTGGGTATTAATTTAACAGGCTATAATATGTGGATACATTAAATCCTTCAATATTTCTTGAGTTTGTCTGAAATGTATTAATTTTTAATATTTTTTAAAAATCATGTACCAATCATGTACATATAATCATGGTTAAGCTTTGCAGCTGTAAAGAACTTAAAGAAATGAAAGAGTTCATATTCCAATCACTCAATGGGATTTGTCAAAACAATGTCCAAAAATAAATCATAATGGTTCAACTTAGAAACACTGACTTTTCTTAGGGGTTTTCATTCATAATTTTGAGGTTTAGTGTGTAATTGTAAACAGAGTTATCACTTAATATTTAAGTAACTTGCTATTTTTGCTGTGAATTCTACAACACACAAGGTTGGCAGCTGAAATTGTGGAGTGTTGGGGGCCTAGTAGTTAGAGCAGTGCGCTTGTGCTCTGATAATATTGCACGTTTGATCCCCACAGCCTGCAGTCTGGGTTCTGTAACCAAAACCCTTAACTGCCACACTGCTCCACAGGTGCCGCACAATGGCAGCCCACTGCTCCCCAAGGGGATGGGTTCAAATGCAGTGTAAATTTCCCCACTGTGGGACAATAAAGAGATTTATATTACATTAAATTTAGATTGTCAGAAACATCAGCATTTTTAATTCAACTATGCATTTCCCTTTTCTAAATTCATATAACGCAAAATAGATTTTCTAAAAAGCAGAAAATGTTAGCTTAGTTTGTCATTTTAAGATAAAGCCTGGTTTTGTTAAGCCTAATAGGATGCACATAAGACCCAACACCTGCTTAACATGCAATTAGTTTTTATTTCAACTTTTGAAAAAACACAGTAAAACAAGTTAGGCTGAATATATTTACAAACGACAAATAGATCATCCTTCTCAACAGTGCTCAGCAAAGTACTCCGTTTTATGATTAATGCAGCATAAAAATTACAGGGCTAAACCAACTTTGTCTTTCTAATAAGTAGAGGATCAGCCATATTCATGTAAGTTTACAATATGCTAGTTTCTCTGCATGTGGAGGGATTATTGAGGTGCTACCTGAATTTGAAGATCACATTACAGAAAGTTCACTCACAAAAACTCTGGCTTTTCACCAATTTAAAACTTTACCCATGTCTTTAAATCTTACCATCATTCTTTTTTTAACACCTATAAACAACAATAATAAGACAATATTCCTGCCCATTTTATCTTTAGATCACATCCCACTGTGAGGCAGACGATTCTTAGGACAGAATTAGAGCCCGGCTGGGAGTATGGCTCTTCAGAGAGCTAAGGTAACGCCTTGCTTTCTCCGTCATGGTCAGCTGGTCTTTAGTTTGCCCGCAAACAACTTTCATCCATTCTTTTGACATCTGCAAATAATTAAAATAACATGAAACAACCTTTTTTGGTTTTTAATCTACATTACTCAAATTCTACATGGACACTAAGGAACTTACAGGTGCAGGAGGCACAGCACTAGGAAATATGCTCGTGTCACTTGGTCCCATCAAAAAGCCCTGGTCTAAGATGTTTTCAGGCCTCTGGCTGTAAAACGACGAGGAGTTGAAACAAACTGTAACAGGTTCTTCCTGCGACCAAAGAGAGACACAGAGCTCATAATTTAGGAGGGTTCAGTCTACATTAAAACTAGTTTTGTTCTTTCCCACGTTACCTTAATGGTTCGTCTGGCCTCTGCTTTGCTGCATTTGCGTTTAGACTTTGGGATCACCTCCTTGACATCTAGAGCCAGGGACTTCCGTACTTTATTCATAGGAGGGCGATTCTGATGTCAAACACAAAGAGAAGACCTGACTGAGCATAAAAATCGGAGCAGGAATGTCTGTATTTCACTGTAGAAGCAATCATTAGGAAATGGAAGAAGCTGAACAGGGCTATCAATCTCCCTTGGACTGGGGCTCAATGCAAGATCTGACCTTGTGGGGTCTCAATGATCCTAAGAAAGGTGAGAAATCAGCCCAGAACTACACAGGAGGAGCTGGCCAATGACCTGAAAAGAGTGGGGAGCACCGTTTCCACGGTTACTGCTGGTCATACTCTAAGATGAAATTTGAAATCATGCATGGCACGTAAGGTTCCCCTGCTAGAACCAGCACATGTCAAAGCCTGTCTGCCAACGACCATTTGGATGATCCAGAGGTGTCATGGGAGAAAGTCATGTGGTCAGATGAGTCCAAAATAACTTTTTGGTCATAATTACACTAACCATGTTTGGAGGAAGAAGAATGATGAGTACAATTCCAAGAACAACATCCCTACTGTGAAGCATGGGGGTGGTAGCATCATGCTTTGCGGGTGTTTTTCTGCACACTGGACAGGGCAACTGCACTGTGTTAAGGAGAGGATGACCAGGGCAATGTATTGCCAGATAGGGAACAACCTCCTTCCCTCAGAGCATTGAAGATGGGTGGAGGCTGGGTCTCCCAACATGACAATGACCTGAAGCACACAGCCAGGATAACCAAGAAATGGCTCTGTATGAAACATATCAAAGTTCTGCCGTGGCCTAGCCGGTCTCCAGAACTAAACCCAATAGAGAATCTTTGATCTCCATGTTTCTCAGTGACAGCCGAGAAACCTGACTGATCTAGAGAAGATCTGTGCGAAGAATTGGGCCAAAATCCCTCCTGCAGAGTGTGCAAACCCAGTGAAAAATTACAGGAAATATTTTGACCTCTGTAATTGAAAACAAAGGCTACTGTACCAAATAATACCATGGATTTTCTCCGGTGTTGAAATACTTATTTGCAGCTGTATGATACAAATAAATAGTAAAAAAAAAATATATTGTGATTTCTGGATTTTTTTTTTTAAGATTGTCTCTCACCCTGGACATGCACCTATGATGACAATTTCAGAGTCCTCCACGATTTCTAAGTGGGAGAATTAGAAAAATAGCAGGTGTTCAAATACTTATGTTCCTCACTGTGTATCTAGTACAGTTGATTACCACTGCAGGTCCACACCATTCATTTCTGAATTAGGGCTAGACCAAAATTTGTTTTAAGCTCTTAATTCAGGGACTGGTCTCCAAATAATCTGATAAATTAATGATCACCATGTGTTCTATAGCCCACTGATTTTCACAGAGCTGAAGCAGTACCATTGTTTTGCGCCTTGGATCCGGTGGCGTCTCCTGTATGACCAAAGAGGTTACTCCTGCATCTCTGAGGATGACCTCATTGATGTCATCTTCAAGGTTTGGAGTCTGTGGCTGAGAAAGAGAAGCAGGAAATGACGTTGAATCCAAAAGACAGGGCTAAGGGCTGCTCTTTGGAAAGCCCAAGCCAACACTCACCAGAGGCTGCAGAGGGCCGTACTTCTCCATGGCGTTTTTGAACGGCGTTGGAGTCCGTGGGGTAAAGCAGATCTCAGACTTGCGGTTGGGTGTAACAAACCTGAAGGGAAATGACAGATACTCACTGACACCTTGAACGTTTCTAACATTTATTTTTAAAATTGAAAATGCAAATAGCTGTAAATCTGGAGTCTGATATTCCCATCAGAACCAGAAACCTGTAGTTCAACTGGATAAATAATCATCTGGATTTAGAAATCTCTTTTCTTTTGTTAGTCAGGGTTACATCTAAGGTTTTCAATAAAAAATGAGAGTAGATACATGCAGATACAGATCCTGGGCAGTCCTCAACAATCTGTGATAGTAACATACAAGTACCACAGGGGGGCAGTGTTTGCTAATGAATCCAAGCCATTAGCATGGGAAGTCCCATCCTTACACAGAGATCGCAGTGGCCTTAAACAGTCGTTCTGATCTGAAAGACACATGTGATCACTGGTAGGTCTGGTAACCAGGCAGCGTTAAAATGACTGAATTTCGTTGCCTTCGTTGTTCTGAATATACGATACTGGTAGCCTACTTCCACTTTGCCTGCCTTAAATAACATTTCATTGTGATGGCAGAACAGTTTCCATTAATTTTTTAAAAAACTTTGTTTTGCAAGTCAGTTTGTCCGAGATTCCCTTCTGTGTCTTTTTTTTTTTCTTTTTTCGTATTGCCGTGCAGAAAAAATTGCAGCTGCTGGAAGATGTCTGAATAATGTTCTGTATATCGCTATGGTAACAGTACTTTTTCAGTAAATGAAGCTAGTATTTTATAGGTTCAAAGAGACACAAAATCTGTTTTTTATTCATTCCACTGGTAGACTGTTGGATCAAATAGAAATAGATGCCTACCTCTAATTCTGGCCTCCTTCCAATAATGGCCTGGACCAAGATGCACCTGAGTGAAATAAAGGCCCCGGCCTATATTAGAGGATTTACGGTATGTTTGTTTCGTTAGTTTTTTGTTAATCAAAGGTTTGTGTCCCCCATCCCAGGAGGCCAGTGGCTTGAGAGGGTTTTGGTGTTTGTCTTCTCGTGTCCCGATCGTGTTCTGGCTCCTTCCTCCTTGTCTGCCTGAACGCACTGCTGTACTCATTGAACTCTGAACCTGCCTGAACGCTCTGAGGAATCCTGTAACCCTGGATCTGTCTGTTGGTGTGTGAATCAGAACCCCTGGTCGGGCTACGGACTCCTGGATCACAGAACTGTTCCCGTCTGATCCGTTTTACCTGACCTTGATCGGATTCCTGCCTGCTCACTGATGTTGCTGCATCAGAGACACTCTGGGCGGCTCTGCGCCGCAGCTTGTTTTGCAGTCCATCGGCTGCCTTCCTCGGAAAGGATGGACCGATCTGTTTAACCAGATAAGTGACTCACACAGATAATCATCTCCCATCAGATGATTGTGGTCACCCACCTGTGTTTCTCCCTCCAGAGTGTCAGTGATTGGGCGGTGCACCGCCTCCCCCTGTAGCCGCTGCGGTTCGCAGATCCACAGCAGCCGGCTTCTGTTCCGTTATGTGTTTTTGTGTTAATAAATGTTTTGAACCTTCCCTCCGTCTGTCTCACCTTGAATACTGGATCTAACTGCCCCTTTTTATTACAGTTTTTGTAGGACTAGGAGAACAATGATCAAAGAAATTCAGAGGCCTTAATTTGAACAATAAACTTTGGGATGCAACTTGTAAATATTTAAGTTAAAAAAAATTTGTTTTGAGTTTCTACACTACTGGTTTGTGGGGTAGTCTAAAATTTAAACTGTATGGTTGGGAATTTGAGTAAAACATGTCACTAATAAAAAGCAGTTATACTAAAGGATGCATTAGGTTTAAGTTTTAATTTAATTTTAATCTACTCCTGAGTTCCAGCCTGAATCAACCAAACTGCTGTGATTTAGAAATAATCCTCATTCTCTTGAATAATGTTCTCTGAATCTAGTCAAAACTTTAACACAGACTAAAACCAGGATCGGTTTGCCAAATCTAATCCTACTTAATTATTAGACTTTAACAATTTTAAGATTTTTTCTCCAAAATCCAACCAGATTACCTTTGAAAAACTGGCCCAGTTTTCATTACTCACACTGAGTTCTCCTTCTGGGTGAGGGGGGTCTTGTCACGCTGCAGCGGCGTGGTCACAATGACTTTCTGACTGCACACTGGCGTGGACGTAAGGGAGGGGTTTTCCAGGTCATGGGAGTCCTGCTTCGTCCATAGATTCAGGAACTGAAAAAGAAAACAGCAAATAGCATCAGAGGTTTTAGAATGAGACAAATCTAATCGTTAAAGCATTTTTCACCCAAGGCCACTTGACAAGTCAGATGGGCAACACAGCAGGAGCCCTCTCAGTTTATAGGTGCAAAGAGAAGTCAGCCTGTGACTCTTATGCTACATTCACACCGAACCCTTTTTGAACAGCAGAAGCAGCTGGTTTACATGCAAAGTCAATGGTTGAAGAATATCAAGGCGCATCAAAAGGTCCTGCAGCACATCTAGAGCAGCAGGAGCGGTGCAACTTGATACATCTGAGCAGCCGAAGCAGCGCCTCATGAGCTTCTGAGCATCATCAAAATCGGTAGCTGATGGAGTTAGAAAAATTTAACTTTTGCTGCTTGACAGGGCCACATCAACCAATCAGAGAAGCTGATCTAGGAGCTGGCAGGGAGACAGATACAGCACTGCTGATGCAGATCGCAATGATCTCTCCCCTGAAGCTGTTTATCAACGCCTAAATTAACTTAAAATGTCAAAACCTGCGTGCAAAATATTTTTGCTTTTATCATTATGGTGCCTGCAGCTTGTACCGCATACCTGGAAAACGCTAACATCTACATCCAGCCGCCATCAACATTAGGGGAAAATCTCCAAAGAGGCGACCTGGCAGCTGTTGCTGGGGATTCCAGGTGACAGTGCTATGTGGGGGTCTGAGCGGCTCAGACAGCGAAATAATATTTGAAGGCACTGGGCAGGATTGTAATTTTGATGAACTGACTGCACAGATGATGTTTCCAGGTGGACTTTCTCACTTAAAAATACAATAAAAGTTCAATTAAAATGAGGGTAATTAAACAAGAATCTGGCAGTATGTCTGGATTGATTGGACTATGTTTTGCAAATTAATTAGACCTGACTGTCTTACTAAGTAGGTATCTGTTGTGATATACCAGCATATATCTGCCATCTCTTGGTGAAAGCAGCAAAAAAGTGCTTTTTCATTTTGTTGTTGCTTAGATAGGCAAAAAAAAAGAATTTTGAATTAGAATTAGATTTTGGCTCCAAATCTTCACTAAAACAATCGATTACCACAAAATGCAAAACAAACATAACAAAAGCTAAATGTCAAAATGATATATCTACTTTTTGTTGGCAAGTTTGACCTTAATTTGTTTTGTTTTTTTACCACAACAATGATTTGAAAATGAAAAAGGAGAAGGTGCAGCAGGTGGAGAATGAAGACATGAGACAGGATCCCTTAACTGGTCTGTATTCCAAACTCAATTTCGGATTCCAATTGAACATAAATGGACATAAGGTGCTGGTAGGTGCCTATGTAAGTGTGGTTTCCTAAATCAAGACAAGGAAGATAATTCAAATCACCCTATAATAACACATCACACCATTGATAAGCTAAGGAGGAAATAATTAAACTCTAAAAAGTTCAACCTCTAATGTACTGTTAATCAGCACACGACAAAAGTTAGCTAACAATCAAGGCTTGGCGCCATCTAGTGGATGCGTAGGTTCGACACAACACTCTACAATACACACACAGCAGATAACAAAGACTTATCAACAGGTAACTAAGAGCGAAAAAATAACTCATTTAACTGCAATAAACACTCACATATTAAACTTACTCATCAGTGTCCCTTCCCTGTGTTAGCAATTGAGCCACTGTAACTGCCGAACTTTCCAACAGGCAGCAGCAACGTTCGTCATGGCAACGTGATGATGTCATCGCTGTCCTAACTACGGCATGCCTTAAGGGCCAAAATAACGCTGAGCAGAAACTTTAAACAGCAGTACCCAACATCGAAACTTAAACTACTTAAGGGTCTTTTGTACAGTGGTCATTAGCTTTGGATTAAAGAATTTACCAGATATAAACAGTATGATGGCTTACTTGAGATGGAGAGAAAGGCAGGATTTTGACAGGAGTGCTCTTTGGCGTCATAGAGTGGCCGCTGTCTGGAGACAATGTGACGCGTCTCCGGCTGCGGCGGGTCAGTATGGACGGTGGGCTGATCCCTCCGGGGGAGATGGGGATGAGTTCTCCTTTGCTGCATTTGCTCAGCTCTTGCAGGGCGCTGCCTTCCAGGCGAAACTGGTGTCGCTCCGGGCTGGGGCTGTCCACCGGCAGGTCGAACGCCGCCAGGTTACACCAGCCGTCCAAGTCCTAAACCATCATAATGCTCTATAGATTAAGCTCTTAGACTTAACAGGTCTGAGGTGTGCTGTATTTATAGATATTTACCCCGTCCACCATCTCCAGCACTTCCTTTAGCGCGGGTCCCGTAGGGGAAAGAAACCCGGAGCTGTCAACCACCCAGTTGGTCCCATTTGGCTCTTCGCTGGTTTCATCATCACTCTTGATGCTTGCACTGTTCTTGGGTGTGGAGGCAGCTTTGGACGGCTCTGCTTCATCGGTGGTTACAGCTACAGGTGCTGCCGTTTCCTGCAATTTGTGCAGAAAAAAGCAGCACAGATAGTAGCTGTAATAATATCTATGCTCTTAAAAATGTATTCAGACCCCTTCAACTTAAACATGTTTTCAAGAATATTAATGGTGTAAATTAAACCATAATGAATTTCTGTTATGACAAAGACAGAAACAAAAACATGTAAGGAATAAAAATAAGCATCTTTAGCGGAAAAAA